GTAAAGGAAAAAATGTACAAGTTACATAGTAATAATAGGACGTTATCAGTTCTAATTTATCTCTGCCAGTAAATTGTTCGTTCTATTTTCTTCTAAATTCCCCAGTTTTGACTGAATTTTTTTGCAAAGTGAGTTCATTAGCGGAAACATGGATTAAGCAGAAAGCAAGAATAAACTTAAAAAATAAAACATCGCTACAAAAAATTATGTCGTAGAAGCAACAGAGAGATACTCATCAGTTATGAAGAAGATTTTTGTTGATTTTCATCCAATATCTAATATATTTTAAAGACCAATTACCCCATTTTTAGTCAATTTTAGCAGTAGAGTGTTCTTTTTCCATCAATGATCGGAAATTTATTATATATCTTAACGTGAAAAACTACTCAGAAGTTGTAATTTTTGTAGAAGTTTGGGTTAATGATTGAGAAAAAACTGAAACTGAGGAGTTCAATCATGGAGTTTGATCTAAAATTTTTAACAATTAAACACGCAACAGTTATTTCTCGATTTTGGTGGGACTTTAAGACGACAGTACAAGCAATTTTCCATTTTGTGTTTCTGAGAAACTTAAACCGCTTAAATTCTAATTGCTTGCGTAGATGTATAATAACTCTTATTTGTCGTCTTAATGCCTTGTCGTCTTAATGGCCTGACGTCTTATTTACCTAGCACCGAGAAAAATTTTCACCCATGCATCCATCTGCTTGAGCGTATCAGCAAAGTCTAGCTGAGTAGTCTGTTGGTTGCCCACCTCGAGAATTAAACTAATCGGAGCAATTAGCTTAACTTAAGCCAATGTTTTTGTTCCTCCCATTAAAAATGGGGATGAATTTTGCATACGGGTGTGTTTAGTTTTTTCTTAATCTTTGTTTTCCACACAAAGTTAGGCACCACAAAATTCATCGGACGGGGCTGAGTGACATACCATAGTGCAGCCTTTTCAGTCGTCATTCAAACCAAATTAAAAACTTCCAAAACATTTTCCCAGTGCCGAGTAAAACTGATTTGAAGTTTTTGATTTTTCTTCTTACTTTGAACAAGTAAAGCGAGCGAGCAAGCTTTTTTTGCTTATTTTATAGTTTTTGTTTTTTTTTAAACGCCATTTTGACAATTGTAATTTCAAAAAAAAAAAAAAACACTAAAATAAAAACTGAAAAAGTTTGTGAATTGTTGTTCTGATTTTTTAATAGACTTTTTTTGGTTTCAAATCACTTCTTTTCAGAAAATGTTGCCCAGTTTGCATACTTTATAATGATTGTCAAACTGTTTTTCTAATTTTTGTTCAGATTCTTTTATCACACCACCCAGAAACAACATCTCTTGCACAATAACCGGTTTTTCATGTTTCTATTTTTTTCTTCAAATTATAAGTACAGAAGGAGGTGAGAATTCTTAGGGTGTTTCGTAGTGTATTTCTAACTAAGTGTGTTGTCCGCCTCAATTCAGTTTCGAATAATTTACTTCGCCCCTTGCCTTCTGAGAGGACAAAGTATAACGCGCGTTAACTATCCCTACTCGTCAAGTTTTGAAAACTTCAAAAAACATGGCTAGCTAAAAACTCAAAAATTATCTGGAGAAAAAACCCTTCTTTTCGACGAATGATTAAAATTTTCTTTCAATTTTCTACTAATGTGTATACAACATAAACAAAATCAAAAATCCTTTATCTGTTTCTCCTACGAGCAGTATTTGCTATATCTTGTAGTGTTTCGAGCTACTGGGAACAGTCTTGATGATGTTATACTCAAAAATGGTTAGGTTTTAGTCGCGAATGTTTTACAAATAAGAGTTAATTTAGCCAGCCAATTAGGGACTACAGTGCTGATTTAAATTAACCGGACACGACGCGTTAAACTTGAAATTTAAAACCCGTTTTTCTCAAATTGGGTTGAGTTTATGTGAAAACTTATGAAGACAAAACTTGCTTAAGATTTTAGAAGAATTAATATGGTGTAATTTGTTTTGCGAAAAACGGGTCCGAAATTTTAACCCAAAAATGGGTCATTTTGGTTTTTTTTAGTTAATCAAAAATTACGCCAAAAATACCCAATCGATCACAGACATAATTACATCAAAGTGAGCCCCTTACGTAGCCCAACAAACTTTATGAAGAGTAGTTTCTCCAAAATATTGTATAAATTGATTTGTTTTTGTTTGATACTCAAAAAAGGTCATTTTTACTATATAAAATACCAACTTTTTATTTAAAAACAATTTTTAAACAATTTGCAATTTTTTTTGGAGAAAATACTCTCGTTAAAATTTGTTGAACTACGTAAGGCGCTCATTTTGATATAATCATGTCTGTGATCGACTGGGTATTTTCGGCGTAATTTTTGATTAACTAAGAAAAGCCAAAATAACCCATTTTTGTGTTAAAATTTCGGACCCGAATTTCGCAAAACAAATTACACCATATTATTTCTGCTAAAAGCTTAAGCAAGTTTTGTATTCATAAGTTTTCACCTAAACTCAACCCAATTTGAAAAAAAATGCCTTTTAAATTTTTTAAAAAAATGCCTTTTAAAAAAATGCCTTTTAAGCTTAACGCGTTTTGTCCGGTTAATTTAAACCAGCAGTGTATTAACCAGGAATATATTTTATCCTAATTTTATACTATTATTATCGTGACAGATTTTATCCTAATCGTATCAACATCTCAGGTTGTAAATTTATAAATTTTTATTTCTCAGCTTTACTCAGCGTGCGGCTAATGAATGAAAAAAATCTTCACCACAAATAATCGTCGGAGAGAGTTGAATGATTTTTGATATTGAAACTTTTACAGCCGTGATTGAACTGACATTAAAAAAATTCTCAGTGTCCAGAAAAACCGGTTCAAAGTTTTTGGTTTTTTGTCTTAAATTGAGCGAATAAAGCGAGCGAGCAAGCTTTCAATAGCCTATTTTAATGGCTCAAATTGGCTAATTATCTGTTTTATAGAAATTTTTCTTAAGAAAATACAAAAGATTGACAATGGTTGACCAAAATTCAAAATGAAACCGACGTATAGGGGACTACTACTTGCAAATGAAAAATACAACACAAAAAACAAAAACTACATTTTTTCTCTGTGTTTGCAAAAAATGTCATATGTTTTTCTCTTACTATCAAAAATTGGCTTACATTTGCTAGATAGCGCAAAATTAGTAAAACGTCCATGCAAAGACTAAAAAACTAAAGAAAACTAATTTCTTTGAGGAAAAGTTAGATAAAATCCATCAAGCCGAGGAAGTTAGCTGCGCGGAAAAATTTATCAAACTCCGATATGTTCTAGTTGATTAGGACATGTTTTAGGGAAGTCAAAAAAACCATATATCTGCTTTCTCTTTTTCTTTGTTTTGTCTTTTCCTTCATCCTACCACACAACAACTGTTACACATTCAAAATATATATTGTTTATCTCCAAAATTTTTTCATGATTGTGGTGGAACTTTCTGTGCTACTTGCACATCAACCTGCAATTCTTTGCGAGCCGACGTTTTAAAAAATGTGGAGGAATTTTGTATTCGGGTGTGTTTTAGTTTTTTACTTTTTAAAATATCTTTTTAAAAACCATATTTTAAATACACATTTAAAATATATAATTTTAATCTCCAAAACTTTTGAAGAATGTGGTGGAATTTTATTTATGTGCTACTCGCACATGAACCTGCTACTTTTTGTGATCTGACCTTTTGACAAATGTGGAGAAACTTTGTATTCGGGTCTGTTTTAGTTTTTAAAAAAGTGGAGTAACTTTGAATTCGAGTGTGCTTTAATTTTTTACTTTTTAGAATATATTTTTAAAACTACGCAATTAAATTATATGTTTTTTATCTCCAAAATAGTTTTTTCAGTTTTTTTTCTTTCTACACAAAATCAGGTACCACAAATAATCATCAACATGGAACGAATGTTATATCTTTTTAAGCCATAATTTAATCGACATTAAAAAATTTGGAAAAAATCTTCTTACTGTCAGGAAAAACCAGTTTGAAAATTTCAGTTTTGCGCCCCATTTTAAGCTAATGTGGTCAGCCTGCAAGCTTGCAAACGCTTATCTATGCTTAACTTGAGTCTTTCACTTTCTGTATAGAAATTTTCGAAACAGTTTGAATTTTAACTGGCTGTTTTCCAATTGCTTTTTCTTACTGTGACTGTCGATTATGCTTTCAGATAATTTTATCACACCACGCAGAAAAATGACCAAAATTAGAAGAAAAAAAAAACAATTTTTTTTGTATCTTTTAACTCTATGTCGGAACATTCTCGTCGGAGACCAATCGCGAAAAGTAATATGTTTTTTCGATATGAACTTGTGTAATTGTTTTCATATTATAACGCATCTTATGCAACTCAGAGGTTTTTGATAAAATTTGGCCATGTTGGGACAAAATTTGAGGACACTTAAGGGAAATTTGCACCAACAATTTATTTTTGAGAACGTGAAACAAAAGAAAAAGTGAAAACCAATTGATTTGTAATTTTTTTAGTATTAATCATATTCATAATTAACATAAAAATCATAATAAAAGGTTATCAGGCTCACAAATTAGTAAAAGATATCGGTAATCACTTTATCCCAGAGTGAAGCATGAGAGAAGGTCTTTTGACCAAATGGTCTGTTCCCAAAACATCTCAGAGCTTTAGTTAGCACATATCTTTAGTAAAATCTCAGAGCTTTCACATCTCTCCGCGCATATTTAGAATGATGTAGAATTGAAAATGGCAGGGTATTATGTAACAATTTAAACGTCCAAATCCTGAGTTTTGCGAAAAATAAACAAGATTAGAAGAAAAAAGAAGTCGCTTTTTTGTAGCATTTATACATCACATCACGGTTATTGCTCATCATATAACGGATAATGACTCAGCTGCTAAAATATGGCTCAATTAAATGAAAACAGCTTTGAAAAATTTTTGCTTCAAATTACTAACAGAAAATTAAATAATATAAGTTTTATAAATTAAATTATACAAAAACTGATTTTTAATTTGATATTTAGGCTGTTTTCTTTTGCAGTGACGCTTATGATTTACACATTACGGAGCATTCTCTCGTGAAAAGACGCAATTTGGCGATGCAGCAAGGGTGCAGTTTAGCGGTGCAACAGCAATTGCACTGTGAGCACTTGTAGAAGTGTTCGCAGTGCACGTGTGCTTGTCGAGGAGGGATGCGCGTGAGAAGCTCTTGCCGCACTCCTTCTCCTTGCAGATGAACCTCTTTTTGTCCTCGTGGGTCTGCAGATGAGCTCTTAAGTTACTCCTGTCTGCAAATGCCCTGTCGCACTGGCTGCACACAAATGGCTTCTCACCTGTGTGAGTCCTGAAAAGTAGTTTGAGATAACCAACTAAAAATTATGTCATTTTTGTAGAAACTAGCATGGTTTTCGTAAATGTTACATAACTATTAAGCAACTGCTCGGCTGTTTGTGGCTGGTTCAGTTGGTTGGTACCTTTTATTCATTCGGTTGGTTTATATACTACTACTGAAAAAGTAACCCATATACATCTTTAATAGTTGTAAACTGAATCTTAAGCGACTCTTTATTTTTCTAGTTTATACCAAAAACTTTTTCAGCAAAGAGAGTTTTTGATTACTTATTTGTACAATACTCAAGTTGAGATTTAAGTCCAATTTTTAGGAAAATTTGAAGGTTTTCAGTCGTTCTTAAGCAGGTTCGGCTCAAAATTAAATTTCAGAATGGTCGATTCAATCGGTTGGCTTGTGATTGGTCCTGTTTGAAATAATGAGCGTTTTACACTTAAAAAACTAATAAAAACCCTCAAATTTTGGCCAAAAACCACTCATAACCGCTAATATTTTGTGAGTGAAGTTATTAAGCGCCAAAAAACTGAACCCCTGTACCTGATGTGGCCTTGGAGCAGCCAGGGTCTGGAAAATGCCTTCCCACACAAATGACACTTGCAAGGAAGAGTATGAGTCCTTATGTGCATCTTCAGAGCCCCTAATGAACTGTAGGTCTTTCCACACACTTTACAGCTGAACACTCTCTTCTCTCCCTGCTGCTGTAGTCCCCCCGACTGCGGCAACTGATATTGCACCCCCGCCGCACATTTCCCGGAAATCAAGTCGTCACCATCCATAATTCCTCTTGTTGCAACTCCCCTCTCCCACTGTCCGTGCTCTAAAAAGAAACAAACATAAAAAAAACTTGTTATGAAGGTACTTTTTTGAAATACGATTTTTTTAATACTTCGATTTGAATCAGGATATGGAGATTTTAAGATATTCAAGATATAAAAATAATTGAAACATAAATGAGACTAGAAAAATGCCGTGAGATTTCGAGTCAAATGATTTCATGCACAAAACTACAACAAAACGGTAAAATACCAAATTTGAAATTAAATAACGGGTTTTCCATGTTTTTTTTAAAATCCAAATTCATATATATATTATGCATCAATATAAATGCATCAATATTTGTGCTCACTAGTTTTGTCTTCATGGGCGTTTCCCTTCTCCCCCCGTTGATGAAGATTATGACTCATTTCTCTTGCCATCAGCCCCCCTGATCCACAAAGATCCTCTGCAATTTCATGAGTCCGCAAAATGTCCCCCCTTCTGTTTTCCTTAATTTCCCAATTGCAGCTATCGCGACTACGAAAATTGGGCAAAATTTGAGAATCTTTTCCTCTGTTGACTTTGTTGATGCTGTTTTTACTGCTGCTGTTATTGTTATTGTTATTGTTTAGAATAATGTTTTGATGCGCGTTAGAACGTTGAAAGCGGTCAATATTTGATGAAATTAGCTCGGCTGTTAGGCCGAACGGGAGACTTTGATGAAAATTCACTCGTTTTTTGTAACTCGGGTGATTCGGAGAAGTAGCAAAGAGTGTTGAATTGCTCACGGAAAGTGATTGCAGGCAAAGAAAATTATAATAGTCACAGAGTTGTTGGTTCAGGTGATTCTGTTCCATCAAAACCGAGTTGTTTCGAAAATTTTCCTCCAAATTGTTCAACAAGGTTTTTTCAGATGTGATTTTGGGCGAACAATCAGTTGCGCATAATCTTGCCTCTGGTTTGAAAGGCCAATTATTTGGGCTAACTTTTACAGAATTGTCTTCCCAAGGTCTGAATATTTTGGGCATCTCGTTTGACTTTGAGTTTACAAGTGCGTTTCAGAAAGAAATGTTTTCAGTAAGATTTGAGGACAATTTTTGGCAGACTGTGGATGTAACGGTATTTTGAAAACTGCAAGTGCAAGAAATGTTACAATAATGGAAAAAAATCTGAATCAGGGAAATAGTTGTGTTTTTATTTTATTTTCTTAATGATAATCAGTTAGCATCTTTAAAGGGTGATTTGCTATATAATAACTAAGCGATATTATATTCGCTTTCATGTGGTGATAAACAGATGAATTAATTGGATACTTTTTTGGCCAGTGGGAATTGAAGAAAACAGAGAGAAGAGGAAAGAAGAATGAAAGGAAGAAAGGGGGCGATTTGAATTGGGGTGAATTGAAAAGTGAAATTTCAGCCTCCTGTTTGAATCACATAACAAACTCGGCCGGTACAAAAACAGGGTGATCGAGAAAACCGCCGCCGCCGCCGAACAAAACACGGAAATGGGAGAAAAAACACGAAAGGGGAGATGAGACCGCCTTAATAGCACTGCGAGGCGGGGAACTAATTTAATTTAAAATTAATTCAACCCAAAGCAAAGTGAAAATCAATTTTAAAATAAACTCATTTGCTCCTCATCCCATTAGCAGCACTTTCTCATCCTGTCTATTAAACAGGTTTTCCCGGAAGCCATCAGGAAAAGTGAGAAGATAATTGACAAGTTAGTGCGGGCGCATTTATCCAATTTAGCCCGCCTAGGAAAGCATCAATTTTAACTTGTCAGTACTTGTTTGCAAAATTGTAATGGGAGAAATCTAATCGAACAGAAACGTTAACGCGCGGGTAATGAAAATCAATTAGTCGAACAAGAAGTGGGGGAGAGGGGGGGGGGGGGTGGTGTAAAGAAACTGGTAGAATATTTGTCAAAAAGTTGATATTGACGGTGAAGAGAAGATTGGAAAGGTGGGTTAATATGTGGGGATCTTCGGTGGGTTAATTTGAAGACCTTTATGTGGGTTAATTTACCCCCAAAAGCTACTTGCATAAAGAGTCTCAGTTAGAATTCCCTGAGTTGTTCTAGTTAATTAGCCCAATATTATAACCGGTATAATAACAGGTCAATGATGCCAATTCTGCTAACCTTGTGTGTTCATTAGTGAAACAATGCGACCATTGTTACTTTGAGGCTATTAAATCAATCGCCACCTTATTAATAAAATCATACAAACTATCCACAACAATGCTTACTATTATCTATCTAGTTTCGCTTCACAGCCTGTTTCGACAATGCACTGCATACCACCGCAAGCACCCAACCCCCCCCCCCCCCCCCGCCTTCATTGCTCTGCTTCTTTGTCGCCCAGTACAATTCAATTCTTCGGTGAATCTCAATTCAATCCACCTCCTTTGATTCTTTGCTTCGCCCGACCGGGTCTAAAATGGGCCCCGTTCCATTGTTTAAG